AAATCTGTCAAACCAATATTAATCCATCCACGAATTATCCTCCCCTAACTTCTTCACTGTATTTGATATTGTCCTTTAGTCATTACTTCTTTGAATTCTCTCTGCCTCTCCCTCCCTCCTCTCTCTTGCTACTGGTGTGAATTGTAGCAAATTGAACCGATATACTATTATGCTATTTTTTCAAGTTGATATTCGTCATAGACTGACACCAATTGGAGGAACATTGGAAACCTGACGGTATTGGACAGCTGTTTCGTCCTAGTCCCATACTCCCGCTCCATCTACTGAGGTCTGCGCAGTTAGGTAGTGTCATTAACCTGGACACAATAGATGGGGGTTCATTGTCTTCTTCAAAAACGTATACGTGTTTGTTGAGTAGCATTTCGCTTTATACTAATTTTTATGTTTAACCTAATACATAGTAATGTTAATATTATTAAGGTTTATATGTCTGGTAAACTTGGAATTTAGAAATTATGACGAATAAATTATAACTCAGGGTGTGTATGTAAGTGCTAACACAAAATTTAGCGGAGAGAACAACTCACTGTGAACAAACTAAAAATTTGCTATTCACAAAAAGTTTGTTTAAAGGTAGTAAAATCGGATAACGTTGACTAGTACAAAAGCATCGACTGGTTTTATCTCATATTGAATTTTAGTTTCTTTCGACTCTTATTCCTTTTATAAATACTTTTCTCATTACTTTTCAATTATTTTGGCCATTATTTTCAATACTTTCGTAAATTGATCTAGTCCTGTCTTCTCTTAATTTCATATTTTCTTATTCATATCCATCGAAAAAATAAATATAGAATGTATTTTTGAGATGAATGGGGATTTTTTAATTTAGAAGTAGTATTCATCATGGACTGACATGAGTTGGGGAACCATTGGAAGTCTGGGAGCACTGGACAGCTGTTTCGTCCTAGTACGGGACTCCTCACCAGTACACACCCATGACCGGGCTAGGGATCGAACTTAGGACCTTCAGGTTTCACGGAGAACGCGTTAACCATTCAGACACTGGGTCGGTTTCCAGTGGTTCACAATTTCCAACTTCTGTCAATGTCAGTCCATGATGAATACTACTTCTAAATTAAAAATCCCCACTCATCTCAAAAATACATTACTGTGTAGTGCTCATTAGTGACTTGCCTTCAGATGGACATCAGGAAGCTGTAATGAGAAGCCGTGACCTGTGGGGTCAACCAAACCAGTCGGAAGTGCAGTGGATGCTAACTGAAGACCTTGGGTGACAGTCGCGCTATGTCGTGAGTTGACAGAAGTTGGAAATTGCGAACCGCTGGCAACCGACCCAGTGTCTGAATGGTTAACGCGTTCTCCGTGAAACCTGAAGGTCCTGAGTTCGATCCCTAGCCCGGTCATGGGTGTGTACTGGTGAGGAGTCCCATACTAGGACAAAACAACTGGCCAGTGCTCCCAGCCTTCCAGTGGTTCCCCATCTGATGTCAGTCCATGATGAATACTACTTCTAAACATAAACGTGTTTAGATGTTTATTCGCAAGTGTTTGACATGAATGTAAATATCGAAATCGTTAATTTGGAAAATCTATTTAGATTTTTATCAAAATTCATCATTATGCATTTCCTTAATATTTTCGAAGTCAATCTATTTGCTCGTTATGATAAAGAATATCCAAACAAAGTACACTGTAACTGAATACATTCATGATAATTTACATAAAACTAAGCGTTCAAGTAGAAATTTTCTGTACAGTTATTTTTAACCCTAGTTCTCGCAATATATGAATAACAGGCAAACAATAGAACCGAATATGTTTGACACTCGTCTGAGGATTGAATTTAGGTGGTTAAGGTTACACTATTGATATTATACCAGGGTTCTTAGTATATGAAGCTGGTATATTTAAGCACTTAAACACTAATCTGTCAGGTCACGGTCTGGATCCCTTTTCTATATACCGAGGTTTGAGCAAGCACATACTGTAGATTTCGGTTATTGCTTAGCACATAAATCCGTACTTTGTTGCTATGATTTATGTACATTTTAATTTCAGTAGCTGAAGCCTTTAAAACCGACAGATTTCTGTTACGACACAATTTATGCTTCTATGGTATATAAGCTACTGTTATTCTAAAGCTCGTGGTTAACATCCTTACCTATCGATTTTAGATATGGTCGTAGAGGGAATTCTAAGGTTATCTATCTCATACACTTCATAACATGTCAACAGTCGAACTGTGCAACAATAAATTTATGTTGACGTCTATCAGAGTATATCGCTTATAAAAACTGTAAATCTTGTTTCCTTTTCTTAGTCAAGGAATGTCAATGATTGAAAATTGTTTCATACTGTTTATTCGTTGAATAACAACTATCATCTATCCATCTATCTAAGTATTGACATCACAATCCAGAAAAAAATGAGTAACTCTAACATTCACAAGACGATTGACTTGAGATAAAATTACAGTGCCAGTTTAAAAATTGGAAGCAAAATTTTTCGTTATATATGCTTCCATTTCGCTCGGTTATGTAGTGAATTGTAATTAACTACAAAACAAGTTTTAGAGTTTCATTTTATGAGGATTTTTTACTTATTGCGCTATGCTTATAAATGTGTAGTAAATACTTATATAATATGACTGGAATAAAACTATGCGGTAAAGAAAGTGATAGCAGAGACAAACTGGCAAAATCAACATAGAGTCTCGCTAGCCCAAATTGCATCGATTCAAGATGCCACACTTCGTAGCGCATGTAAAGAACAAGTAGGTAGAGAAAGAGTAATATCAAACTCATCATCATCAAAGTCAACAAACGACCAGGAATTACTGCGTAACGGTCCGAGTCGCTACACCTCATATCAGCATATCAAGAAACAAGGCAATAAACTGGAGACGAAGAAAGATAAATTGGTCAAAGAAAGTAGAAAGTAGTAAAAGGGAAGAAGGAAGTATGAGAAGATAATGAGATTAAGTATAATAGTTAGTGTGAGGATAATGTGTGTATACGTCTGTGCCAGTGACATAGGTTCTGACCGATATCGCTAAAAGTCTCCAACCCCTGGTTTCTGTTGTCCTGCGGACCCCGACAGACTAGTCTCCACCGCCTTACATGGCTCAAACCAACAGTCAAGGACTTCATGTACTGACACCATGTTTTAGTCTGGCCGTCCTGAGCCTTTTTCCAGCTTGGACCTGATTCTGCCAACATTGTGTGACAAGGCAGATGGTGACTAGACATACGTAACACATGTCCCAGCCATCTCAGTCGATGAAGGTTCACAACCGCATCAATTGACTTACCTCTCCCCTTTAAAACTCTTCACCTAACTTCTGCGTTACTCATATAGTGACATCACAAAACACGACCTGTGCTACGGAAGCAACGGTGGCCAAACATCTGAAGCCTTCTCATGTCTTCGACCTTCAATGACCAGGTTTCACAGTCATAGAGTAGGACAGAGCGGACTGCTACACAGTACACTAGACCCCTAATAGACAATCGGATATGGTGGCGGCGCTACAGATGGCATAAGTTGGCAAAAGCCATCCGAGCCTTTTGTATTCGTGCAGAAATCTCATCGGCTACTGAAGCAGCGGGGTTGGTTCAACTTCCAGGTAAATTAGACGATCAGCTCACTCAACCACTACACTGTCTATTGTTAGCCGGGGCACCGTTGCAGACCAATCCTGGAGCAACCATTTGCATCTGGGTAGTAAGAAACGCATCCCAAACGTTCTCAGATTGCTACTCAAGGTGTCCAGAAGACCTGCACCTAGTTAGCGTCTTCATCTAACAGGACTATGTCATTTACGCATTCTAGGTTACCAAAATTTCTCCTATAATTAGGTTAATCCCTGTGTAGTCATGTCGAAAGACTTCTATAAGAACGTCTATGATAAAATTGAATAGGAATGGGGAGAGTGGATATCCTTGACGGACACCCTTTGACATACACAGCTCACCCAACATCATAGGCTCTAATACATCCATAAGTGTTCGAGTAGAGAGCCTTCAATAAGGTGATATGTTTACCCGGTACCCCTTTCAGTGAGAAATATTGATATCAAACTAGACTAAGGTTTATTCAAGGAAAAGGAACTGGAAATCAAAGTTCAAGCTTTAGAAGACGTCAGAGAGTGAATAGATCTGTGCTACTGTACCTGATTTTGTGCCATACCACCAAGATTCACAAACCATTAATTCCTGTGATCTCGGCTACCTCAACTAGACAATATACAACTTTGTATAGGATTCAAAGGCTTGATGGACTGGTTCTATGTGTTAGTCTATCCACCCTAAGCCTTTTTACAGCCTAATTCAAGATGACAGCAATCTTTTTTATTACATTCAGGTTGAATAGGTCATTCATTGACTCAGACTTTAAGACCCCTAGAATTCTTTCCTATCATTTCAGGTATATATATTTTTAGATACCTGATTGTAAATTTTTTTTTTTAGTTAAATTCTTTTAAGTTGAATTCAATTTTGATTTCTTCTAAAAGCTTTGTTGCTAATGTATCAACTAAGACTTTTTTTAAAATACTCGATTACTCAACATTTAAATATTTTGTATCCATCATCGTTTTATTGTTTGTATGTATGTAGGTATACATGTAGGAATGCTTGAAATATTGGAATTTGTTTACTCATGATAGTTTTTTTTTTCTAATGACTACTCACAATATTTTACTTTTCTTTGTAAAAATTTACACTACTTAATATGAACTTGTAGTAGTTCATTTTACTTAGTAATGCTTGGTTTCGAACCAGTTGAATTTTATCACATAACTGTAATTACGTCTTAGTAATTACAAAACTATTATATTGGGAGTTGAATGCAGCACTACTTTTTCCTATTGTCTGTGGAATTAATTATCCAGTAGGCTACTCATTGTTAGAAGAAACATTAGTCATCACTGAAGTTGCCATTACCTGCATGATATTGTTGTTATCTGAGCGTGTTTTCTTGTCTATTTTACTCCCACCCCGTCCCTTTATTAATAGGAGCATGAGACATTGAATGCTGATCAAGCCCGTGATTTATTGAGTAGAATGCTAGTAATTGATCCACTACAGAGAATATCCGTGGACGAAGCTTTGCATCATCCATATATACATGTATGGTATGAAGACTCTGAAGTGAACGCGGTAAGTTACTCAGAAGGTGTTATATACTCCCAATAAAATTGTTTTAATGACATTTTTTTACAAGAGATAATTTATATACATTGATATAGTAGTTGACTGTTTTATTTCCTGAAGGTTGATAATGTTGACCTAGTTGATTATAAGTAGCTTACCACTAAAACTATTCAATTCAGTGAAAGAAATACCCTCCAAGTGTAATCAACCGGTTGATTAAGTTTTGAAATTAACAATCCAACTCTCAACTAGTCGGTTGTATATTTGAAACACTCCTTACTTGCCCAGGTTTGGACATTCGGGTAGGTAGTACCACAGCCGTAGCCTAGTAGTAATGGTTCATTCTTATGCTGTTCAAAACTACATCTGTTTATTAAGTTGGATTATATTCAACTTAAGAACTTTTCTCTAAACCTATAGTCTTCAGATTACCGATGCTTTACTAACTGAATAATGACAGTTGACTGCTGAACGCATTCCAGGTTAATATTCATTTGAGGGAATTACCTATTCGCTTATCATATATTATTAATAGGTTTCTGACTAAGTATTCTATTCCTAGACCAACTCGACTCTTAGTTTTGCAGACTTTCTTTCTTTTTTGAATAAAAAAAACCTCAGCGGATGTTACTTTGGCTATTCAATTAAGTATTTACTTAAGTTTGAACAGACAAAAATGAATTCTACGCCGGTTTTCGAGTATTCCATGTTAGATGGCACTGTTGTATTCACTTATGATGATGGATATTTCTATCTTGTTATCCTATTTCTCTTCCAGATAATATTTGTTGATATTCATGTCAAACATAAAAGCTTAATACTATAAAGGTGCCTAAAGATTCGCCGTACATTATGATAATTGTTATTGATAGCAAAGAATAGGAAAGTAGTTAAATCCTTCACACCATTCCAGAGCACTACCCTTTTTTTTTAGAGTCAGAGACAGCACACGTCAATAAACGCATATATTGCTGCCTCTGGCGTAAGTTTAAAATGCTGATCCCTGATCTAAACGAAGCCTTGACTTTCTCAACCGCTCTGCAGATGCTGTTTATTTAGTATAACAGTAGCCATTATTTTAGATGCGGCTGATGCCAACCTTTGATTTTGATTGGTAAAACAAAAACATTACTTCGCAGTTGTGGAACATTCAGTATGCCTTACTTTTTGGAACAATAGTGTTATCTTGTTAACAAATTCAATCCTTGAAAGCAGCTTTGCTTAAATCGTGTTGGCTGAGAGCCTTATAGTGTTTAACCAACTGGTACTTTCTATGTAACCGATAATAGACCACAAGCTATCGTGGAAACCATTTGTGAAATAGTTCAGTTAATTTTTCTATCCATCATCCTAAGCGTTTTTTGGAGATTAGCAACTGACGTATCATCTTCGCTTTATGCTGTTTCATCGAAATCAAATGTCATGTTAGTGCTAGCTGGTGTCAGGTGACAATTTCTAAACTTAATGCCGTTGAATATAGGAGTAAAACTTGGGCACTATGGTAGATTGTAATTCCATTTTAGTCTGTTTATTAGAAATGTCACAGTGAAACAGTATCATTTATTGGATAATGTTTCCCTGCATGATATTACTAATAAACATAATAAAATAGCGCGAGATGGCCAGACTAAAACATGGCACCAATGTATGAAGTCTTTGACTGTTAGTTTGAGCCGTGTGGGGTGATGCAGACCAACTGGTTAGGGTCTGCGGGACAAAAGGAACCAGTGGTTGGAGACTCTAGATGATAAGGGTCAGAACCTATGTCAGTGGTGCAGATGTATACATACATTATCCTCATCTTAAAGACGCTATACCGAATCTCACCGTTTTCTCATTCTTCCTTTCTCTCTTTTCGTACTTTATATTTCTTTTGACTGAATTTTCTTATCTTTGCGTTGCAATTCACTGCCTTTTTACTTGACGTACTGATATGAGGTGTGGCAACTCAGAGGGTTACGCAGTAATGCCTGGTCCTATGTGGATATTGATGATGATGATGATGTACTAAAATGAAATGAGTGCCCTTTCTTTATAATTTAGTTGTCATAGAATTTATTGATGTCACCAAACTGAAAAACGATGTTAGCTGGTTTGATTTTCACAGTACATTCTTAGGTGGGACATCAGTTCCGTAAAGGTTGCAGATACGGTTTGCTAACGAGTGCCAAAAAGCACGAAATGTTGGTTTACGACTTCCTACTGATTGCTTCAGTTCAATTAACACGTTCTTAGACTGTAACTCTAAGGACTGTAGAATTTTACATTAACTGATATCAGCTACAGTGTAACTGAAAATCAGGTGATATAATGTAAACATAATTGTAGTGTTTTACAGTTTCTAAGGTTTAACTACCTTTACTATAGGCTCCATACTTAGCTGTCTTTTGTGCCGAGGTTCTTCGGCTTTCTTTGAACTAAAATTGTCGACATTTTCAGCTCCTTGAAACAATGCAGCACATAATCCTCCAGTTTCACTTGTATTTGCTGCTTACTTCTGAAATGGATTGACGTTTGGTTTACAGATTCTTACCAAGATTTTGGGTATTTTTTTATGCCACTCCACAATGATGAGCGTTAGGTTTAAGTAGAATCGTTCAATCCAGCTGAATGTGTAACTCCCTATCCGAAATGGACTAGTTAATCGTATTCATCCACAAACAAGCAGTTACTTGATCTGAATTATGGTAATTTTAAATGGTATATTACGTGTAATTGTTGCATTCATAACAAATTAGTACACCTTTCTTGCGAATCTCGGCTTGGATCCAGAAGGTCTCGACATTTGCCAACTTGCGTCATCTGTGTCGCCCATTGGTGAGATATCCGACTATGTATTAAGGGACGAGTACACTGCTCTGTAGTCTGTTCTGTTCTGTTATACGGCTATGAGACATCACCGTTGAAAGCAGAAGACATGAAGCTATCACTGGGGTTTGATCACAGGTGTCTTCGTAGCGTTGCTCGTGTTTGGTGGAATTACCGTATTAGCAATTTTGAGGTTAGAGGAAGAGTACTTTGACAAGACAAGCAAGTTGATTGATGAGGTTGTGAACCCTTATCAACCGAGGTGGCTTGCCGTGCCGGACCGAAGGAAGTTGGATTAGGTTGGGAGAGAGTTCAGGGTGGTCAGACCAATACCTGGCATCAGTCCTTGAAGTCTCTTTGTGTTGATCTCAGTTGTGTGAAATGTAGACTGCTTGGTTTGGATCACCTAGACAAAAGGAATCAGTGGTTGACATAACTGAAAACTGATCACAATGGCACAGATGTATTCACTCCCTGACATCTAAAAGCTTGAATATTCGCACTAACCTTTGTCTTCTTAGATATAACTCTCTTTCTATCCACCTGTTCTTTGTGTACTTGAGCCGATGGACCTATTTGCTGATATTCTTTGTTGAGTTTTTCAGTCTATTAGTCATACTCTTCGTAGTAGTTTTTCTAATTGATGTAAACTTCTTAAAGCTGATTGTAAGTGATTAAATGTAGTTTTTCTCATAGGCTATGAATTATATATTTATATGGTATTAAAAAGTGTCATTTGAATCTGTTTTGTTTTTTAAAATATTTACTACTATTGTATTGTCTGGTTTTATTTCTTATAGCCACCACCAGCTCGATATGATGATTCATTTGGTGAAAGAAATCTATCTGTTGATGAATGGAAATCTCGTATTTTTCATGAAGTGAAAGAATTTGAAGCTCATGAAGCCCATATACGTAATACTGAAAATTAATTCTGTGCATAACACTTGAAAAGTGACTGTTTAATGTATTGTACCTGAGCATACATGTAGAGAATAACCCATTAGTGTGTGTGTGTGTGTGTATGTGTATTAACAAAATATTAGGTGAACAAGGTATAAAGTTCTTTGTTTTGTTGACATCATTCCTTCTCATTATATATCCTACTATGTGTATACTTCAAACTTTTAATGCTAGACATACTGTTCTTCTTCTTCTTCTCTACTAGACGCTTATCTCTTGTAACTAACATTTCCATAATGCAAACAATACTCTGTCATTTTGCGTTTTCTTTTTTTTTTTTTTTTAGAAAAAAAAATTATTATTGTGTGCCTCATGTACAAGCTTGATAAAAAAAAAATGCTCACTAGATTATGTTTATGTATGTGTGCTAACCTGTTAGTTTGTTTGTTTTCCTCTTTATAATCTTTATGTTTTATAAAATTTCTACTCAAAAATCACTTAATGTTGGATTCTTTTTGCTTAAATGCTCATTGTCTACTTTCTTTCTTTCTTTTTTTGTTTCTCTTTGTTTATTTTCCATATATTAATCGCTTCACGTTGTATAACAAGTCAACAGGTGTATCCTTTGGAAGGTGGTGTATGTGTGTGTATGTATGTATGTTCACTTGTGTTTGTCTTGAAAGATTTTCATTTTCTTTGCCTTTTTAGTTGTTTTTTTTTAATTTTTTTTTTAAAAAAAAGACCCTTCAGTCTGATTACTTACACACAAATGTGCACTATTTTTATCCACTCACCAGTAGACTTTTATCATATGAACGATTATTTTTGTGATATTACAGTTTTTAATGTTAAGATCTATACTTGTAATTTGCGTAAATTCTGTTTTAATCATCTGTTAAATTTATATACACATTGACTGTATTTTTTATTAATTAATTAATCCCGGTATAAGAGATTGTGTGTGTGTGTGTGTGTGACCATTCTGCATCTTCTGCCACTTATCTTCATGATGATAGTACCATTACTGCTGCTGCTGCTACTGTTTTATTACCAAGTAATAGTAACAGTACTACTGTAGGAATACTTCAAAGTTGTATATGAGCTTATAGAGAGAATATTTTCTTTTACTTACCTGATTCAACTGTCATCACCGCAAATGCCTGCTCATCCTTCTTCTTTTTTAAAAAAAAACAAAACAAAAAAGTTAATCCCTGCTAAAACTTATTTTCCATATTTAGCGCCCATTCAATGTTTCAATATGATTAGATAGATTTACTGTTAATCGTTATTATTTCTTTAAATGTATCACATTTCAACCTATCAATTTTCAAAAAAGCTTTTGCTTACATTTCAAAGAAACTAGGATATGTTTTTGTGTATAGTTATTGAACAAATTCAGTAGAAATTAGACTGTTATAATTAATACCAAACTACTATTAATGTTTGTTTGTTTTTGTTATAATGATGTGTATTTACTTATTCATTTATTTTATTTTCTTATTTTAATATTCTATTGCTAGGGAAGACATTTCCTTTCTCACAGTTTATTTTACAGTTGTCATATTTCTATGCTAACTTATTCTATTCATTACTTCTGTATGTTATGGTGTATGGATTTTAGGAGAGTGTACGCATGTGTGCTAATAAGAGAGAATCAGTCATTAAGAACATTTTTTGTTTGTTTTCTATATTCCGTACTAACTTATCTGACATGAATAGGATTCGGAGTTTTGATTAGTGTTTTATCTCGAAGCTAATATAGACTGTCTTCTTTTTTTGAATTAGCATTGAAAAATCCAACAAACGAACAGAGTTAAGGTTTGAACAATGCCTGTATAAGTTGAGAAGCTTTTATGCATCGAATGCAAGTAGAATGAAATTAAACTGTTAATGATATTTATTTATTCTCATGTCACAGAATTGCTTAGGAAGTGTCTACTTACAGACAGTGAATGTAATAAGATGGCATACGGTAACAGGAATTATCTTCAGGGTGACTGCATCGTTGTGAAAAGATAGTTTTGTATAGTAAACCTTTTCAAAACATATCAAAAGGTGCGAGATTTTAAGCTGTCTCAGGCGACTGATGTGTATACTATGGGTGTAATGTCGCACTTTATTTTCTATAGATGAAATTTTGAATTCCTTATGTTGAAATACATAGTGATGCACTTTATGATTTCTCGTTGTCTACAGAAGTTTGACTGTAGCAATTTTATTCAACTACAAATCGCACTAATGTTAATTCAATCTCTCTTTAGATTCATACTACAGGACTCGCCTTTGTGACGTGTAGACGAACACATATTTACAATTCGATCTCCTGAGGTTTAGATACCCCTGACTTCAGAGTAATTAGCTCATTCCCTGGAGGGAATCTGATTGACTTGGAAACACTGACAAAATGAAGCGTCTTCTGAACGCTTTAAGCTGAAAACTGACTGTTTCGCGTGCGTTTCGTACTTCTCAAATATAAGATGACGCTTCAGTCTAAGTATAGGAATGTGTTGACAAATTCACTTAATCGGGGAGTTGAATTAGTCCAAAAGGGTTGACTGCTGCTCAGATACGGAGAACGCATTTGCCAACTCTTATCACCTCTGGTGCCAGTGAGATATCCGACTACTTGTTAGAAGGAGAAGTACAATGCTCTTTCCTTTTATGCGAATGTTGAATGTAGCATTGCTTACGTATAGTGCAATCACCATGGAAGGAATGTCGAGGTTAGGTGGACGGAACTAGGCAAACCAGTCGATGAGGTCGTGAACTTTCACCGACTGAAGTGTTGTGGACATGCGTGTCCTGTGCATGCTGAGTCACAACCTACCTTGACGTGTAATGTTAGTTTAAGTTGGAAGCAGGCTCAGGGTGGCCAAACCAAGACATCATACTGGTTCATGAAGTATGTAACTGTTGTTCTGATCCGTGTATGAAGATGTAACTGGTGTTCCTGAGACCATAGGAATCAGTGACTTGAACATCTTCCCTAACTTTGATTTTCAAATTCCTCTTCCTTAAATGCACTTTAGCCTAGTTTGATATCATTTTTCTCCATCCACTTAATTTTTTTATGCTGCTGTGGAATGTGGCAACTGGAACGGGCACAATTTTATGTGAATTAGTTTCTAGGTTAATGTTGTCTGTCTTTCCAGATGTTTTACTCGTGTATACATAATTGATCATATTTATTAAACACGAATTAATCATGTTCAGTCACCGATGACAAAAATACGAATCATAAAAGACAACTAAAAACAATAGTGGTGGCGGTGTAATTAGTGACAAAAGTATTGAGAAAGGCGTAATGGTGTAAAACCGTTTTCCAACGGGTGAAGTAGGTTAGGGCTGGGAAAAGAATAAGGTTGCATTATACTAAAGGATAACTTCGCCTGGTTAACTAGTCCACTAGTTACTAGCCGGTTCTAAGCCTGGATAAAGAGGTTGGGCATATGGCTAGCAATCCTACCCCGTAAAACCAGTCCAATTGCTAAAGAAACTTCAAAACACAAAGAAAATATAAATAATAAAAGCAAACTTATTCCTCATTGGAGACGAAATGACGCCGGTTGGTGTAAGACTTCTAAGAGCCAATTGGCCGATATGTCTTCTTTCGATGAAAGCGAAAGTGAGAACTACTATTATTTGTCCCTTGGGTTCCTAGTGGAACATAAGGCTTCAGTAGCACGTCTCCATTTCACTCTCTTCTGTGCAGTCTTCTGAACCTGGCTCCAAGACTGCCTACAAGCTTTCATTTCTCCTCACACCATCTCCATGTCGCTATCGTAAGCCCAACTCATTGTTTCCCCTTTGGATCCTACTCGAGGGCCTGGCCTGGTACGCGATGTCCCCAAACGGTCTTCTCAATGTATGTCCAATCCATCTCCACTTTGTTCTCGATATTTGTTGGGCAATAGGTTCGTTCCCAGAGTTCCTTGTTGCTTATTCTTATTATTCTGACAATCTGATCTGATCTTCAGTGTCGAGCGTAGGAAGCTGCCGATGAATGTCTTTAGTTTGTTGGAAATGCTTTTCGTAACGTGCCTAGTCTCTCAACCATATAGAAGCACTGACTTGACGTTGGTGTTGAAAATCCGGATCTTGTTCACGCTTTATGCTGACCGCAGTAGATCTCCACACTGGTTTCAGGTTAATGAACGTCTGTCTTTCGGTCCTGACTTTAACGTCCTCATCTGTGCTGCCGCTGCGTGTAGTTGAAACGATGCTTCCGTCTAGGTAGGTGAAAGGGACTACTCCCCTTAGGTTTCTCCTGTTAATGGTGATTGGTGCTTACTGTTGTTGCGTATCTTCGTCATTTCTGTTTTCTCCACATTTACTTGAAGCCCGTTTTCGCCTCTTCTGTCAACTTGTTAGTTTTCACCTGTAGATCTTCGAGTTTGTGTGACATTAAAATAAATCATCACTGGCGAAATCCAAATCTTCTAGGTTCTATTCATCGGTCCAGCGTATCCCCCTCTTCTTTCTCTCCATTGTCTGTTGCATGATCCAGTCGACCACAATCAGGAATATCATGGGTGATAGTAGACAGCCTTGTCTTGCTCCTGTCTTCACTTAAAAGACATCACTGAGCTTCCCATTGTGAATTACTAGGCATGTGGCGTCTTCATATAGTTGTTGAATGAGGCTGATAAAGATTTGTGGTATTCCGTATTGTTGAAGCAACTGCAAAATTACTCTTCGGTCGACGCTGTGGAAGGCGTTTTCAAAGTCGATGAAGTTGAGGTAGAGAGTTGAGTTGACTGCCATTCTATGTTCTGTTCTTTGGTGATGCGTAGCGTTGCGATTCGGCCCGCACATGGTTTGTACTTCCTGAATCCAGTGCATGCTTAAGTCTCTCCAGGACGATGCGGCATAATATTTTGCTTGGGGTGGACAGAAGCGTTATTCCGCACCAGTTCTTGCGAATCCTAAAGTCTCTCTTGCTTGGGAGTTTGCCTAGGTAACCCTTCTTCCAATCTGCAGGTACTTTCTCTTCCTTCCAGACCTTCTGCAATAGTGGTGTGAGCATGTC